CTTGATGCCCGGCCAACTTGTCCTCCATCTGTGAGCCAGCTGAAGTATGCCAGCCACCTTCTTTTTGAAACCTCCTCTGACCCATTCAGGCTGAATTGGCCTCTATTGTATGTTAAACATATGTATAGCATATGCTTAACAAGGGTCCTTTTGCATATCATCTTGCAATTGAAAAGGGCCTATCTACTTACCTACCTCCTTCTAACTGTGTGATAAGGAATGGATGGATGGGTGGGTGCATGAATGTATAGGTGAACCTCTAGTCTATGAAACTTACTTTTAAGTAGTGTAACGATTTCTGGTAGTAAACTTCTGGACCAAGACTATAATGTAATAAACAGCATAAGCTGTGAAGCCAAATTATTTTTGTTTGAATAGCAGCTCTGCCAAATCGAGCTTTTTTCCACCTACTTTCTTATCGTTGTTCAAGTACAGTTGTCTCCATTCTCCCCTGCCCACCCCAGCCATCCCCACCTCTCTCCCTTGATCCAACCCTCCTTTGACTTTGTCCGTGTGTCCTTTATACATGTTCCTGACACACAGAGCAAAGCACTTAACCTTGATGTGTCTCAGTTTTAGTTCTTAGTTTGGGTTTAATCTTGGTTTAAAATCTAGATAATAATAGTATCACAGGTGTGTTATGAGGATTTAATGTGGCAGTATGCATAAAGTGCTTGAGCAGTGCCTGGCACACAGTAATCTGCTCCCTAATGTTTGTTTTCTTATGTAACCTATGAAGAGAACGTGCAGTCTGTGGCCATGCCACTCTGAACGTGTACAATCTCGTCTGGTCTCGGAAGCTAAGCAGGGTCAAGCCTGGTTGGTACTTGGATGGGAGAAGGTACAATTGCAATGTGCTAGGACCACAGACTACTTGAAAAATGTGGTTTTGGAAAACAGAGAAGACGACTGGAAACTTAATTATGCTTGACAGAGATCCCATGGTCTTGCTGTAAAAAGATGCCTTTGTTTTGTTAAGAGCGTGTTGGGAATGGAAAACTGAGGTCACAGTGAGACCTCACTGATGCCGTTAACGGAGCCCAGTTGTTCCTTCTGGTGAGACATTGGAGTGTCGTAAAAGCCATTGTTTTGGTCTCCTGGTGAATACTTATGAGCGGTAAACAAGAGTTAGGGCAGCTACAGAATATTTGTCAAAACCAAGAAGGTGGTGCTGCCCCACTGGGACAGAGGGCACAGACCGAGCGGTCGCAGGCAAACCAGAATAACTTGGAGGCACCGTAGATGCACTTTCAATAAACATGTGGCCTGGTTGGTTTAAAAACCTTCCTAGGTAATTGTGCCTTTACCTTTAAAGTGGAAAGTTACAGAAGAAGATAAATGGACCATTCATCCAGCCTCATTTAGTTTATCTTATTAATACAAAAAAAATAGGGTTGATTTTATGTCTCAGCTGCTATCCCCAATCTCAGCATTGGGTCTCACTGGGGAAAGGGAAGGGGCCAATTCCTGCTCCCTGGCATGGGTTGGAAAGTAGTGGAGACAAAGGTGGATGACATGAGTTAAGAATGTAACTTTTCTTTAACCTGAATTGCAAACCAGTGATTAGTTCCCCTGGATTAATTCTATTTCTTTAACAGAGAATCATAAGCAGTAGAGTTCAGTTCACCCAGGTCTCTTGCTTGACAGCTGAAGACAATGGAACTTACTCACATTAGCGGCTGGCCTTCCCTGGTTGTTCACCTTGGTGTCAGAGCCAGACTGGAACTCAGGTTTCTGCTGTTGAGTCCAGTGTTCTCTTCAGTACCACGGTTAAATCATCAAAGAATTCCATGTCTAAATAAATTAAATAACCCTTTATGTCCTTTACTGTTGAAGCTGTCTACAAAAAAAAAAAAGTATAAAATTTGGGAATTATTTACATCTGGCTTTATCCCCCTGCGAGAACATTTGGACTTGAGCACAGTGGCACCCTGCCAGTGACAAATGGAGGCTCTGAGACTGCCTTCCCATCATCCACTACCTTTTATGGTGTCTAGGGATTTCTTGCTCTCCTTTGTGACCCAGCTGCATAGCAGCTGTTGTTGAGAGGCTCCTACTTTTCCACTCTCACAGGGCAGCTTTCCTAACCACCCCCACGGGATTTAAACCTCTGCAGCAGGAGTGTCAATGCTGAGCACTGTGAGCTAAGGCCATCTCCATGGGGCCAGTCAGCATAGCCACTTCCCAGGCTATTGCTAAAGGATCGAGGGGATGGAGCCATCCAGCTAATGTTCAAAAAGCTGGTCGAGACAAACAAGAGGCACCCATTGCCCAAATAGCCCAGCTTAATGGTTGGTATTGTTGCTCATAGCTAAGATTTTTAGCTTTCTTGTTGCATTAGTTCCTTAAACCAAGGTCACATCGACCACTTTATCCATTTGAAAGGAAGTTTCCTACCGGAAACCATTTTCCGTGAACTTTTAGTGCCACTTTATGGACCACAGATTGCTGATTGAACTATGTTTTCTTTTTGTAGATAGGAGGTGTTGGTGACAATGAAACTAGGGGTTAGTTACCTCCTGGGCAACACTTAGGCCTTAAGACTGGGTCACATTTACCCACTGGAAACTATGCCATACCTCCTGAGGCAGCAGTGCTTCCTGAGGAGAGCACACACTTCACAGGTGTGTTTACAGTGGTTGCTTTTTCAAGATATTTACATTTTCATGCAGTTTTGACCACCTGCTATGCATCTGGCCCTTAGGAGAAGCGTTGATTAAACCGCTGTCCTGAAGTCATTTACAAATACAAGAGGAGATGACAAATGGTGATTGGAGTATGCATGGTGAGCGTCACAACAGAAGCAGGAATCAAGTGCCTTTGGAGCACCCAAAGCTCCATTTAAAAGATCCTGGGCAGGTTTAGTTTGGCCGAAATTGGAAACTAAACAAGGACTTAGTTTAGATGTTTAGATGACTTTTTACAAGTCATCTAGGACTTGTAAAAAATACTTTTTGAGTTACTTTTCCTTCTAATTTTCAATAGAACTAAGAAAAAACCTAGACATGAATTTTTTAGACCCAGTTGTGACTTATGTTTTGGCTTTCTGTGTTCTTTGTCAAAACCCTCAGTGTGTCTCATCCCCTTCCACTGACAGTATCACTTCCCCTCCCCCCCTTCACAGCCAGACATGACAGAACTGTCTGCACTAAGCTATCCATTTCCTCACCCCAGTCCCCAGAGATCCCCCCATTCCTTTTGGCTTCAAGGCCTGTTCCGTACTGAGGTTGCCAGCCATCTCTCTATGTCACTAAGTCCAGGGGACACTTTTAGCATTTGACCTACCTTCAGAATTGACTTACGCTGTTTTCTTGAAATACGACTTTATCTTGCCTTTGGCCTCTCATTCAGCCTGACTGACAAACCAAGTGTGCTCTACTCAGCCCTGCTTTTTACCTGGCCCACCTCTACTCTTGTCTCGCTCACCTCAGCTCCATGTCGTGTTTCTGTTTTCCTGCCACCGAGAGTTTACCTTTGCTGGACCTCTGCTTAGAATACCTCGTCTCCCTTTCAGCTGGTTAATCATACAGACCTGTCAGATTTTTAGAGCAAGCAGCAGTCCCTTTGGAAACCTTTCCTGAGTGGAATTCACCACCCTCATCCGTGTGCTCAGTAACATCTACAGTTTGGGAAGTATTATGGGGTGGGGGTTGTATCTGTTCTTCCCCACTTACATCCTGGCGCTTAACACAGTGCTAGGCACATGATAGGTACCCGATAAGTATTTGTTGAATAAAGGAAAGAAATGAGTAAGCTCAGTGAGTTGCCGAAAGTTCATTGTTTTAACTAAAAATAGACATTTTTCTGTTTGGTTTGTGATTCAAAGATAGATGTGTTATTCTAAAGTCTAAAAATAGCCAATTTTAATGTTTAAAAATGATTTATATAATAACTTAATTATAAATTTTATTCAAACATATTTTCTACTTACTTCACCACAACTTGCTTTTAACTTGACATTGAGCCTAGTATAAGCAGTGCTGTGTACCAGCCTAAGTCACTTGACCAAATGGACCTTAAGATGTGCTTGTTTCTCCTCACATTACTTGTCTCCCACTGAAATGTTCTCCCAGTATCTGGGGGTGACCTCCTTGAGCTTAAAGGTAAAATGTACAAGTGAACAGCTTTAGAAAGGGTATGAAAACTTATGATACAGCAGGAAATGTAAATAATCTAAACATCTCCAGTTATGTATTATTTTTTAAATTAGCTTTTCTGTGTTTATATCTTAAAATCTAACTTTTTTACTTGTCAAAGATGTGGAAAAAGCAACATATAGTTTATATATTTTTAAATTATCAATTATTTTAATGTTTATTAAAGGCAAGTTACTTAAAATTATTAATTTAAGTGGCCCTTTTAAATGTTTATATTTTATGATGCTTTTAACTATGTTTTCATTGAAAATGTGATTAAAATGCAAGGTTTTTTTAATTTTTTCCCTGTTTTGCTTCCTTCCTTGGCGGTCTTACACATCTTTACCTTTCATTTTCTTTTCATGCAAGGTACCAGTTAGCTAGTGTTCTTTACCCTTGGCTACGCCTGGTCTGTGGCCTCCCATCTGGCCAATCTTTCTGAATTAGTTCTCCAGCCTGTCTTGCTCTAGCCTGTCAATCAAACCGAACTTTGTTACTCCACCCCACACACACCTTCTTGCCAACACTTGTTCCCACGCGGTCTCTGCCCTGTGATGATGTGATGCCTGCATTCACCTCGGTGCTGCAAGCTACTGAGTCGTCTTTAACTCTTGTTTTCATGTTATTCCCAGACCCAATGCATCAGCCACCCCTCTTCAGGAGATTCCAGATCTAACCACATCTCACTGCTTCTGCTGCTTTTACTTTACTCTTAGCTGTGGAGTATTAATAACCTCCTAAGGGGTCGTTCTGTTTTCTCTTGTGCATTCTCTACAGTCAGTTCTTCCACCCAAAATCTAGAGTTTTTTTATACCTTTATGTAAAATCCTCTGTGATGTTCCCTCCTAATTAGAAGAAATCCCACTGCTTTCTTCAGCAGCACATACTCTAAAATTAAAATGATACTGTGGATTAGCATGGCTCCTGCCCAAGGATGACACACAGATTCATGAAGTATTCCATATTTTGTGCAGTTCTTGGAGGCAGTTCGACCCTTTGCTTGTTAACATCAGTGAAATTATGTGAGTCAGAGAAGCATGTGGCATCCAATATTGAAACTGTGGTTTGCACTACCAAAAAGGAAAGCTCATTCCAAACTCTCACAGTGCATGCCAGGTCCTACCTGATCTGGTCCTTCCCGTCTCTCCCACTCATTTCCTGTGATTCTTTGTGGGGCATATTCCACTGCTGCCATTTGGCGGCCTTGTTAGTCCCAACACTGCATGCATGCCAGCCCTTTGCGTGGCTTGCTCACGCCCTTGACTTAGGTCACTTCTCTAATGTCACAAAAGGCCTTTCTTAACTACTCTATCAAACGTCACCCCACCCCATCCCCAGTAGTGCATGGCTCTCTTCCTTCAGCCTGCATTGTTTTAGACCATCTGACAGTGTCACTATCCATCGTTCATCTAGGCTGTGAACTGCAGGAGGGCAGGAACTTTGTCTTGATTACCAAGATCTGGAACACAGCCTGTCACCTAGCAGGAGCTTATTCCATTTCTGAGGAGACCAACTTCACATTTCTAAAGACTTCTTTCCCCTTCTCAGTAGACTAAGTGTACTGTGTTCTCCAGACACAATTTCACACTAACACAGTACTATATTTAACAGTCCACTCTAGATGAGTATTTCTCTCTCCGTCATTCTTGAAATATTGAGGGATCCACCCTTTCATTCACCTTTGAAATCCCAGCAGAATAATCTGATGATTCAGATAGTGTCCTTTTAAAAATATTTCAGTTTTTTAAAAAGATGTAATTAGGACAGAAACTACAATTTAAAACCTGTGCATTTCATTTAGCAGTGGGTCATGAAATTCTCTTGTGGTTTAAAACTTTTTTACAAAATAGGTTCATAGGATTTCACTGAAGTGAAATTAGTTAACCAAGTCTACACTGGTGGACACTGGGTTTGTATAAACAATACTGCAATAAAAATGAGTTGCTCCCTTTTTTGTATTTGTAGGTATTTCCTTTGAACAAATACCTAGAAATAGAATTGCTTGGCCAAAGGGTATCTGTGATTTAAAGGCTTTTGGTACATGTCAAATAGCGCTCCAGAAGATCATATCGCATTTTATTGTGTGTTAGCTCTGTGTGATAGAAGCACCTATTTTTACGAACCCTTAGTGATACTGAGTTCTAGTATTTTGGAGGGAGCTTCGCTGATAGAGGAAAATAATAGCATCTCAATGTATTTATGTGCATTTCAGGAAAATTAAATATTGGGTAAGTTTAACATATTTTTTATAGGGAGAGTGGCCATTATTTTTTGGTACTTGTAAACTTTTTTTTTTTTTTTTTTGCCTATTGCTCATATAATATGCTTGACTATCAGGTGAGAAGCTCAGCCACATGTGCATGATCCACTTTGTCATCTTCGAATGAAATTCAGGGTACTGCCATCTTCCATCACACTTGGCCAGCCATTTAATTTCAGCCTGTTTTGTGGCTTCCTTTGCTCCCAGGGTTTGAACTAAATCTGAAAGACTTACCGATGCTCACAGAGCTGGGGAGAAGCTGCCCTCATCATGTCGCTCTGAGTTGGTACCTCCACCTTGAAGTCTGACAGCTTTGCAGTAGGACTTGGGATGGGTTTTGAGGAAGCTTTGCTTAGGATGGGAGCCCTGGTTCTGGGGCCCAGCCTCGACTTAGGCATACATACCATGGAGCCGTCCCTCCCTGCTAAGCTTTTGACAGCTACTCTGGGTGCTGCCCCTGAAAAATCTGAGCATTCCCTATCACCACTAGTCACTCTTAGTGCCATTTGATATATTTCAGTGAACTTGGGCTTTAAGAGTATATTCCAGGTATCTTTCAGGCAGCTTCTCCTTTGGGGTGTTTAGGAAAATAGGTCACAGAAGGCCTGATATTTATAGAAAATGGATCTTGGGAGAAAATTCATAGAGGAAAAACACAATCTGTTAGTAAACTGTTCAGCCACATTCATTTTTGTTTCTAGTACTCCTATTCTATTATATTTTAATGCATCCCTGAAGAAGTAGTATTTTCTCCCCCAAATATGAATGCCATGGTCCAATGTGATAATTTGATGGGCAAAGTATTTTGGTAGTATAGAAATAAAGTATTTTATCATGAAAGTTACCATTGCCCCTGTCTCTTCACTTTGCATCTGATTAAGGTTAGCTTTGGTGCATTATATTTAGTGTCTTGGAGGGACATGAGAATCAAGTGATTTTCCATAAATCATCTTGGTTTATAAGAATTTGTTAAACTGTTACATTTTTAAATGATTTTTTTCTTTCATGGAGAAGACTTATATCCTGAAGATACTTCCCATATAACATTGTGATGTTAAAAAAAAAAAAAAAAAGGCTATCAGCCCTGGCTGGTGTGGCTCAGTGGATTGAGCGTGGACCTGGGAGCCAAACAACCATGGTTTGATTCCCAGTCAGGGCACATGCCTGGGTTGCAGGCCAGTTCCCAGCAGGGGACACACAAGGGGCAGCCATATGTTGATGTTTCTCTCCCTCTCTCCTTCCCTTCCCCTCTAAGGATAAATAAATAAAAAATCTTTTTAAAAAAGGCTATCAAATAATGTTCCTTCTGTTTGTAAGTGGTGGTCCTCACAAATTAATTTTTCAGGACTGTCTCTTTAATTACTTTTTCTTTTTCACTCAAACTGTAATGTATGTTTAAACAACACAGTTGCCAAACCACACTTTTGGCTTTTGGACCTGTTTTATTGGCTGCTTCCCATTCTTTAATCCCTGCAGATTTACACTTGAATGTGAAATGAAGGTGTGCTTTTCATTGATTGGGGAAAGTGACTGATGTTCACAACTGTCAAGAATTCCAGAGAGTAAACACTGAATGTGTGGAAGTGGCTGCCAGGTGCACAACTGCAGGGGGAGACCCTTCCTCGTCAGTAGGACCATCCTGTGGGAGCTCTGGCTTGTGCTGACTGTTATCCCTAGCAAAGCCGAAAACACGGGTCGTCCCTGGTTAGGACATAAATATTTAGTTGAGAATTGGGCTATTTCTAAGGAACTCTTTTTTATAGTTTGATAGACCTTGGCTTGTGTGGCAGATTCCACATGTAAAGTGGGGAAATTATTATTTTGTTCACAGCTCTGTACTTTATGGATAATGTGTGTGAACATGTGAACTAAGTAATTGAGGACTGACTGACTATAAGGTGTTAAGCTATATGTAGCAAATAGTGGTAGCCCGTGTATTTGTTGACCATTATATTTACAGAGAACTGGGATGGCTAGAGAAGGAGAGGTTGAGTCTTTCAGGAGTAATTTAGTCCATAAGACAAGGGTAATAAACGAATGGCATTTACACCTGTGTATCCTAGTGCAGTGCAACTCTGCAGAGTCCTGACCGCTTCAGGTGTCATTTAGTAAAGCAGTTCTGAGCGGTAGCATCAGAACACACATGATGGTACAACAAGCTGGTGTAATAGTTGATATTGTCAGTCATTTGTAACCAAACATAAGCACAAAAGTTGTTTTGCTTTTTAAATGCAAAACAATTCAAGCTGAAAACATAATGGTGTAATTCTCTCTTATATTTAATATTCCTGAATGGTTTCTTAAGTGGGAGCTCAAGGAAAGTTTGAGGGGAGCGTGTGACAAGTTTATAGTTATTCACATGGAAAATAATACAGTAGTTAAAAATAATGCAAGAACACACTGTGTTTTGCATACTCACAACTGTAGACCTACCGTTGCCCTACGTGCGTGTGTGTGTGTGTGTGTGTGTGTGTGTGTGTGTGTACTGGCCTGATAAGATACAGGGATTTATTAAGATTTGAGCCAGATTGTGGAAGATGTTGATAATTCGACGAGTAAATAGAATAAGTAGAAACAAGAAGCTATTACAATATTTTTGAATAAGGGTGTGATGAAAACAGTTCTGCTTAAGGAACATTAATCTGGTGAAATGAAGTTCAGTGACTAAGGAAATCTGAGCTCTCTTTTTGCAGTCTAGATGTAAGCTGAAAGGGCTCGTATTGGGCTCTTATTTGAGGGAGGAGAAAGTGTTAGGAACAAGAGTCATTTTTTTTAGGAAAGTTGTTAAATGTAGTTGCTACCATGACATGAAATTCTAAAAAGGACTCTTGAAATTTGGTAGTTAGGAACCAGATGTGACATTGAACTTGGGAGAAAGAATTCTTTTGAGGAGACAGAAGGAAGAAAAATCAAAGAATGCCACAACTTTATATGCCAGATCTGAAGCTAGTTATTTCCATTTGATTTGTGATTTTCTTAGCAATCCTTCAGAATTGGTACTAATTATGTGAATTTTTCCAAATGAAGGAAAAAGAGACTGGGGTATTACAAACAGATACTCAGAGCCACAGTTATATAAGTACAGACAGCAAGGGTGAAACATGGGCTTGTCTGTCTCTAGGCTGGTTCTCTCAAAGAGAATTGGAGAAACTGCTTGCCCACTGTGCTCTGTGGCTAACTCCCTTACACTTGGCCAGTCTGTTCATTTTGTGCCTCCTCCCACTGGGGCTTGATGGCAAGTTCGCTGTTTATGGTTAGATCCCTGGTACTTAGAACTGTGCAAGGCAAATAGTAAGCATTCAATGAATATTTTTTAACCTACAAAAATAAACGAGTGAATAACAAGTCACAGAACTGGCAGTAGAACCGGAGCCTCTTAATTAACAGTTCCCTTATTTGTCACAATTGACCACAGTCCTTTTTTCTTGGCTTTATGAACCAACTCATGTGTCAGAAATCCCAACCAATATACAGAGTGAGTAATGGTGCTTGATGCGAGGGGTTCGTGCAATCAGTGGCTTACACCATACTGCTTGTAGAACATGCTGACATCATCTAAAAGACACCAGGAAAAATCTGCTGAGAAATAACTTTTTCCTCTTCTTAACTGCCATCCCTTTAAAGCAATGATAGTTGATAAAGTAAATTTGATTCAACAGTGTTGCCTCCCAGCCACTGTAATCCCTGCCTAAGACCTAGCAATGTGTGT